AAACCAGAACCCAAAAATCAGGACATGGGACTCTCGATAATGAACAGCTGTGCAGCGCAACAAGACGGGTCACATTCTCAGCGCGTCATTTGGCAAGGAGGCTCAGGACGTTTTACGAAGTATTCCAGATGGCAAGGAAGGTGGCAGGTGCTGACAAGCATTTGATGGACCACTCCAATTAACCAGTTGTTGAGCTGTTGGGGCTGGTCTGTTGGGCTGCTGGGCTGCTGGGTTGTTGGGCTGTTGGCTGCTGGGCTGTTGCTGTTGCTGTTGGGCTGTTGTGTTGTTGCTCTTGGGTTGGGTTGTTGGGCTGCTGCGCTGTTGGGCTGTTGGGCTGTCGTGCTGTTGAGTTGTTGAGCTGCCAGCAACTTTTTGACTCGTGCAATCGATCCACCAATGGAATGCTCATTGCGCTGACAAATTATACTTACCATGGCTAAGCCCCGGGTTTGGTCAAGTCCGAAGTTCACCCTCAGAACATGAACATGATACCTCGAAAAGGGTCATCATCCCAACAGTGTGCAGCTTTTCAAGAAGATTCATTTTTTGAATTCCGTGGCAACAGCGGAGCAAGCGGGCCTCTGCAAAGCAACCGCGTTTTTTCTAGCAAGCTCAGCTGTCCCAAATGCGAGTCTTCACTTTTCTCTGTTCAAACTCTGTTCATATTCACCGGGGAGGGCTGCAAGGCAGTTTTTGATGACATGCCTGGCTGAAGGTTACGGCCTGCTGAGGTTTAGGGGAAGGGCCTGGCCGTATCCAAATTCGGCCAATCTTGTCTGAGACACTACACTTACACTTGGTCTTCGACGTGACTTTTGCATCGTTATTCCATGCGCTGAACGTTGAACCGGTGTTTCGTCCCTAGGGCTTCAAGAGCCTGTGAACATGTCGTCCTGATGAAAACATCGTGTTTGAAAGCATTGTGTTTTCAGAAACACTTTGTGTTTTTGATAAAACCCTACTGAGGCCAAACACTCATTTCAAGCAAAGGGCCCAAGGCAAGGGTCGGGCGGGGGGTGCGCAGCTGGCTTCAGTCTTCAATTACCTTCACCGCAATTGATTTTTGTTTAAATGATTTTCGCGAGATTTGAGAGTTGGGCGGGATCCCAGCGGTTTACCCCAACCAAAAACATGGTGTTGTTGGAAAGCATCGTGTTTTCTAACCCGTGGCTAAAGTAGAAAGCCCATAGTAGAGGGTGGCAAAGCGTGGAAATTCTATTGGTTTTTCGGGTTCAATCCCGGATGCGCTAGTTCGAGAATTTTGATGCAAATCAGCGAAGTCGCGGGCCAAAAGCGGGCTTTGCTTGAGCTTGCGCTGTTCGAAGCCACCACGCCCTCATCATGGCACTGCTCCCTGACAGGTGTCATGAAACTGGCAGCCTTTTTTGAAGGATCAAGGTGGTACTTTTCACAATTTCGGTCCCCGACCTCCTCCTTTCAGGTCTGAGTTGCGAATGAATAGTGGCGAATGCGAAGCTGATTTCGTTATGAGCGCAAAAGGGGAGAGGGCAATGGGAGATTCTGAGGTTGAGATGATGCTTTTTTGAACGGATGATGAGAAAATGATTGGAATGGAAAATGTTGTTTTCCTAAAACATCGTGTTTTCCCAAAAAACCCCGTGTATTTTTAGGTATGACAATTTCGTTGTTTTGGCTCCTGGTAGCCTCGCACCAAATCATTTGGAGGACAGCAGCCTCAGCTTGGCGGACCGCATTTCTCGCAGCAATTCCCCTGCAGGCTCGGCGATTTTGGCGCAAAGACCCGGGGGGGGGTTCAAACATGTCCCCGAACTAGACTCCCAGCCCAAAGCCCGCAACAAAAAATAGCGACACCGAAATGCACACATGTACCCGCCTTATCGTTCAGACTGGCGGTTTTGGTTGGTCGTTCGCTTTGGCACAAGTTACTTTGGGGAACGTCGGACACCTCCAGGGGCGGCCCCGTCCTCCAATAATTTGGGCTAGTTGGGAGCATGTGGGTTGGACAAAAGAACCTGTGTGTCTCAGTTGTTGTTGCGTGCGGTCATAGTTCATAGCCCTAAACGTTTATCCTTTTCCTAATCTCCAGAGATTCGATCTTGCTTTTCACTTTCCCAGTTGCTGGGCAATTCACTGGCCCAGCCTTGTGTGCTGACTTCTGGCCACCCCTGACCTCAATTGTATTTGTGGGCAAGGCGTCCAGATGGTTGCTGCGGGGGATACTTTTGTTAAGATGACAGATGCGACAGTCGACTTTTGCTTGGTACGAGCAAGTCAATTCCCAAGGCATATCATGCTTATTTGCTGGTTTGTTAATTGTTTTGTATTTCCTGTTGGTTTTAAAGGGGACTGGCCAAAACTGGAGGGTGCATTCTTACAGTTGCATCTTGAGCACATAAAAGTTGTTGTGTCTTTTCAAACTCACTCCAGACGGGCTGCCCTGTGATGCGACCTGTTTGAGTCAGGCGCAAGGTGCTTGCGATTTGAGTGGAAAATCTAGGATGCCGGCTGCCCTTTGTTTCTCCATGTTTGAACCCGTTGTAAATGCACTGCTGAGCTGGACACGCACACACACACACACACACCTTGTTCTTGCCCGCCGACACATTCGAGAATTGGGTTTACTTGGCTTTTGCTGGGGAAGAGCCGCATCCACATGGACTATCACGTGGCTAGTCCTGTCAAGATCTGTTGGCTCTTCCGAAGCCAAACTCCCCACGTTTGTTTGTTTTACGCGTGCTCTTCGAGCTGAACCGATGGCGGCCATTCTTTGCATGGCATGGCTCAGGGAAGAGCTTCGATTTGTGTCCGACTTCCATGCCGATTTGTGTTTTCCGGTTGGGTGGTTTTTGACGTTTCACCTAGAGCGCTTTCAGCGCAGCGAACTTTCTGTGAGGTGAACCTCGGCCACTGTTTTGGCATGGCTGACCCTTTGAACTCTTTCAAATCATGCTTCGTCCAATCATTTGGGACAGGGCGTGGGTAAGATTGACGAGGTAGAATCAAGATCGGTTCGTGAAAATCAAAACAATAGGGCAAAACAAGATCATTGACATTGTTACTGAAAGCGGCTACTTTGCACTACTGCAAGTCATTATCGACAATGGTCCTCCTCCTCCTCCTCCTCCTTTTCCTCCTCCTCCTCCTCCTCATGATCATCATTCCGAGCCAATCCCCTCGTTTTGTGTATTCGAACTTGTTCTGAAGGGATCTATCATGGGCCCTGGCCCTGGGCAAGTTGTTCTCTTGCCTCACTGAAAGTTGAGAAGTTCCTTTGAGTTTGTGAATCAATCGCTGAAGTTTCCCATTGGAGCCCGGGACCCAACCGATCATTTTCGTGCGTTTGACTCCCAGAGCCTCCAGTATTGGGGTTTGTCTCTGGGGTTTGGGGCAGAGTGGTTTGGTCAAAGGTTGGGAATCAGGCAAATCGCACTTGACTGAGAACCTTCGAGCTGGTTCCTCGCGGAGGAGTGGTGACTTGGCCCAAAGCACAAGATGGCCCGGTGCATCCCAGGCGTTGTGACTATTCGCCATGTCCTTTTTTGTTTTCAAAGGACGGGAACCCCCTTGGTTGCCTACTTGCCCCTGAGCAAAGCCCAGAAAGGTGCTCGGAGATGCAGCCTGTAAGTCAACTACCCCGGCTTTGTTTGGTTGTATCTAGGTGTGAACAACACAAACAACCCTACTTCGGGCCGGCCTGTCAACGCGGCATGGAAGGAACAACAAGTCACGTTCGTTTTGCACCGGGGGTAGCGACCAAGCTTTATCCCCGAAAGGGACCTTCAGGTAACCACCAAGCTACCAACAGGGATTCTCTCAAGTTAAGCAGGGCACACAAAAAAAAAAAAACAACGCTTGGGGGACTGAACCCGCGTACTTTAGGCTGTATTTTGGGGAGTCGTAAAGAAAACAAAGCAAAGCTTGGGGGACTCAATCCCCTGTATAGGGAGCTTTTGGGCTGGGCTCCGGCCATGTTCGCCCTCAGCCTGCACCCCGCCGCTTTTTTTGGGCGGCAGGGCAGCGCAGCAAGAGCAGCAGCTCCAGCACTGGCGCCAGCCTCAGAGATTCGGCGGGTGGAAAAGCGCCTCTGGCCCGAGTTTTTTCCCCCCGGCCACGAGAAAACCTAGGTCCCCCAGCTAGGTGCCCTTTCCCACCCCTTTTTTGGTTGGGAGTAGACAGAAAAACAAGGGTACCCTTATTCTAACCTCTCTACTGGAGGGCCTAGAAACCAAGGATTCAACAACCAGCTGTTCAGGTTAGCTTTTTGAGTAGTTAATAAACAGAATGCGAACAGAAAGTATATCTCTTTGTTTAAAATGATTTGAGGTGATATTCTTTGGCCAAGCCAGAGCATGCCACTCCTGATTCTTGGGATAGAGTTGCAGAGGAGCAAAGGAGAATACTGGAATGGTTTGCGGGTTGGGTATCGGTGTGGGGTTTACCGGTGCAGGTTTGTGAAAAGTCACGGCAGATCCAATGTTTCCGGCAGTCCCCTATCACTGAATCACAGGTTTGTGGCTGTCAAGCATTGAGCAGATGTGTCCTGCTGTTTGTTTTGGAACCTTTTTTTGGCTGATCCGGGCCCCTTTTGTGGGTGATGCTTCAAGGGGAGCATTGGGAGCCCTTGGCCGGATCGCTTGCCCGGTTGCGGCGAGGGCGGGGGCGGGGTAGCAGGTTGGGGTTGGGCATTGGGAGCCTGTGACATCGATGAAACGCTCCGGTGGCTGGCTTCGATTGAAACCTGGTTTTCGAGAGGTCTAAACCACTAGTACACAAACTGCTGGTGTGCTGGGGCCGAACATCTGGTGAGAAACAACTTGGCTGGTGCGAGAGATGCAGGGAATGAGAATTGGAATGACCCCAAGAAAAACCATCCAACTAGTGGTTTCCTTTTTCTCTTTCTTTTTTTCGGGGACCAAAGCCTGGGTAAATGGCATTTCTCACTCCTTGAGCACCAGCAAGCAAGTTGTCGCACTAACCCCAAGGCTCGGAAGTGGAGCCATGTCGGATCTCTCAGGCCGATGGCGCTTTGCGCAAAACGCCGCAGGCTCGGAGTCTCTCTGTACGGGGGGAGGGGAGTTGTCACATCCATGTGGCCCCAGTGGCACAAGGAAAAGGAACCCTTTCCTGTTTCGAAACACGGCAAATGGAAAGGGGATAATTACCCCCCCCCACCAACTAACATGGAAGTGCAAAAAAGCCCTTTCCAAGAGGAAAGTAGTTTTCTACAGGGGTCTATGCACTTCCATGTTAGGTGGTGGGAGGGTAGGGGTGGAAGCCTCGAAAGTGGAGTCGGCTTGCTTTGGTTTGCGAGTTAGCTGCGTGGAGAGTATAATCCACAGTTTATCCCCACACCCAATGGGTCATTCACCAGTTTACGGGCCCACCGACTATCCAAGTAGATGCTTTCCGGCGAGATGGCATAGGCCAGGGGTCCTCATATTTCCCTTTGCGGGTGGACTAGTCATCACCAGTGTTTTTTTGTTGGGGTGTTGCTTTTGGGTAAGACGTCTACTCGGCACCCGCTAAGTTTGTCTCAACAAGGAGAGCCCTCTTTTTGGATGATTTGAACGCGAAAGCCAAGGCGAACAGTCACCAGGAGAAATTGACTTTGACACACACACACACACACATGCACAACCCTGTTTCGGAGAGGGGTGGTTGCTCCCAGCAACAAAAGCACCGGTTCAGTAGAGGTATCTTGATTGGTTCGGTACAGGTATCTTGATTAGCACATCCTTGATTTGCTTTTCAGTGGGCGCAGCCTATTTCAGAGGTGATCTCAATCACCTGGAGTCGCACCTATCTACAAGGGGTAGCTTCCCGTTTTCTTAGGTTAAAGCGGAAGCTAAAGGCAGATCCGCTGTTACAATGGATCCGGATGCCTAGACACTTTCGCCTTTCCGGAGCCAAAGGTCTGCGAATCTGCCGTGCCTTTCGGACAGTTTAGGGTTCCCCATAATGACCGACCCTAAAACAGTTTGTTTTTTGGTATGGGCACTGGCGATGCGGGCGATGGGCGTTTGGGATCCAAGGATCAGTGGCCCCATCCGAGCAAGCCCTTGATCCTTGAGCATTAGACACCTACTCAACAAACATGATCATAATCGTTGGCGTGCCCGCGGCATTGGAGAGCTGTTCGGGGGAGTGGTGCTCCCAGTGCAGCTGTGGTGTCATTGACCTACCTGGAGTCTCCATGACTGTGTAAAAATGGGTGATCCATGACTACTTTTATTGGGTGAATGACCCCATTTTTAGAGGGTCATGGAGACTCCAGGTGCTTCTTTTGGCGGGGGACTCACGTGAGCCACAATCAAAACCCGGGTAGATGAAGGTTAGTAAGGGACAATCCCAACAATAAATAGCTGCGGCCGCCTTCTTAATTCTTTACATGGTTCTGGGTCGATCATTTTAATACCGGATTTTCATTGTGACTCACGTGCCAGCTGGCCGTGACAGATCAGCCCGGATGACATTTGTTTGCCACGGCTGAGATCCGACATGACAGCGCCATTGTCGAACTTCACCTGTGCTCTTCCCCCGTAGATCCCAGGCGTTGCGCCTACAGGTCCTCATGGATCAACAGGGTGAGGCATGGTGAGGCTCGAGGACGAGGAGCTGCTGATTTTCTGAGACCTGCAGCGAACTTAACCAAGATTGAACGCACGTCTGACGATTGGAAAGCAGAGCAATGCCCCCGAAGCCACCTTTCGAGGTAGTCAAATAGCCCACAAGTCACCCTTTAAAGATGGAACCAAGCTACAAAGCACCCTTGCCAGATGGTGCTTGAACTCAGAAGGCACAATTTTGGCATTGGTGAATCAGCCTTGCCATAACACAGAGGCCCAACCACGCAGTCACCCCTGATCTTTTTGCAAACGGGCCAACATATGAGTCGCCATATCTGACCAACCGAATGTTGAGAAGCAATTCTGGGAGTTGGGTAAGTGGCGAGTGACCCCCACTTATCCCCAGAAAGCTTTTTGGCTTCAGGGTTCCGTGGTTGCCCTTGAAAAGTTACGAAGTTTTCGGCAGATCTGCCAATCTAGGTCCCCCAGCTAGGTGCCCTTTTACCCTTTCTTTTTTGGTTGGGAGGGTTTCCCTACTAAAATAGACTACAGGAAAAAATATGTTACCCTTTTCTGGGGGAGGGTTTCCCCTACTAAAATAGACTACAGGAAAAAGATCGGGTACCAACTTATTCTAAGCTCTCGACTGGACCTATGGACCGCCCGAGTTTTTGGGTCGGCAGGCAAGGAGATCAGCCACGAGGGCTGGTTGGCCAAGCGCAGCTCCGGGAAGATCGCCAGGCTCCGTCGGCCCCGGTGGCCCCGGGGCCCCGGTGACTAGGGGTCCCTTGGTGAATTGGTTTGGGATCCGGTTCGTTTGGTGACCTTGGGGCTTGGTTTGGCCTCTTTTGTTTTTCAGTTTTTTTTCTTCTTGATATATATATATATATACTTTAGAGCCTCCGGCTCAGTCCGCCGACATTGTCCTCTCCCTTTTCTCCTTCTTCCTCTC